AACTATAGAGCTGACGTTACCGTTCTACTGTGCTCTCTTTTTCTTAGCAACGACAGCAGATGTCGCTGCTGATGAGTACTCTCTATTTTTTGTGTGCGTGTTTTAAATCCATGCTCTTCAAAAAGCCGATTTCCATTTCGTGTCATGGATTATTTTTCAGCTTTTGAGTTTGAAACCCTAGATCTCAGCATAGAGTGAATGCAGCAAATCTGTAATAGAATGTGTTTCCACCTAAAATAATTCATTTTTAATGGCATAAATTTCATAATAATACACACTTGACTGAACAATAAGTAAAATTACTCGCCGAGAAAGTTTCCTTTTCAACTCCGTGCATACTTTAGTCATTCATTAAATTTATCTTTCGCACAAAACTTAATCACTCCTCCGTCGACATTCCCAATTGTTGTTTGTGAAGTAAATAAAATAAGAAGGAAAACATAATTTTGCCACTTACTGACACTAATTGCTGCCACAAACATTATTACATACATTTACCTATATTAAAGTACAAAAGTACACTCGGCTAATTGTTACGAGCACAAAATCTACTACAATTCGTCATGTGGGATTTTTTGCCTTAATTGAAATTTGCCTTTCCGCTTACGTCGAATTAACCTCAGTGCGGCATTCGTTCCTTAATTTCGCTTGGTGAATATCTGGTCAATGGTGAATTTAACTGGTATAAAGTGACACTAATAAGAGCCAATGAATTTGTTGACGACGTGCTTTAGGCTTTCACAGAAAACGCTCGTTAGGACCTTACCTACGGCAGGTTAATGCCAAGTTGATTTGGCGCAAACTGTGGCTATTCCCTTTTTTGGAATGGTCAAGGCGCACTTACATAGGTTCCAATCGTTGGGCGGCATTCCATTTTAACTGCCATTAAGCAGGCTGGAGAAGAGTGTCCTCCACAAATTCAGTATACTCTGGGCATCAGTCACAAGATCACCTCTTGTTTGTTTCCGTCTTGAAACCTTCTGCGAGACGCATAGTTTCGTACGATGTTGGAGCATTACCACTGTCGGTCAGCTTCTCAAGCTTTTCATGCTCACGCAGCTCGGCATGTTTCTGTTTTTGTCTGCACTTGGGTGTTGTTTCTCTCTTCAATTCTCTCACCCCAATATGCCTTTGTGTATGCGACAAGTAAAAAAAAAAAAAAAAAAAGAAAANAAAAAAAAAAAAAAAAAAAGGAGAAAAAAAATAAAATAAAATAAAATAAAATAAAATAGCGGTCCTTCGTTGTACTCTTTAAGTGTCATTTTCTTTAATTTCCGTTAAAGTTTATTACTTCCATTCTTTTATTGCAAAAGCGGCGGTAAAAGCAGCGCCAGTCTAATTAACAGTCAAAAGCAATGAAATGTAAGGAGTAAAAAAGGAACATGAGAGCTGAGAGGAAATGCCGTAATACAGCAAATGAGAGTATACGTAAAAGTTGCGAAAAAGAGAATGAAAAGTAGAACGGAAACACTTACAGATCCGCTCACAACCACGCGAACTCTTTTGCAATTCAACCTCGGCGTGAGTGACCGGTCGTCTTAAAGATGACTGGCGTCTATGGTAGCACTCGCTTCGGTGTTTCGCTTTATTGCCTTGGCATCTATTCAGCTTTATGCCTCACACATGTTAATGTTATGAAACAATAATTATAATAAATAATTCAAAATTTTTAATATAGCTATTAGTATTGCAGGCTACGAGTAATTCTTTTTGACGCTTAGCTAAGGTTACTGCATTCAGTGCTCTGTTTATTAGCCACATTTTTAATGTTACAACTTTCCAACTCTCTTAGCTAATTTTCTCATTTCTCTTGCCAATATTTTTCCATAATTTTCAATCACTTTTAGCAGCTGCTACTTTTGTTTTCCAAGCAAAGCAATAAAATGAAATTTCCTCCGTGCGCAGTCTCCTTCATAACTCGGATTTATGTTTCATGAAAGTGTTCTTTATTTCTCTCAAGGTTGCCCTTTTCATATTAACTCTTTTGTTTTGTTGTTGTTGCGTTTCTAATTTTTTACTTGTGAATATTTACAGCATACTTGACTATCACAAGCGGCTGGAAAGCTTGGGCACCTTGAGATTTCATTTCTTTCATAAAATAAAAATCATATTTATTATGTTAGCGTAACGTGTCAAGAAACACTGTTATTTAAACGAGTATACAAATGTAAAATATGCAACGGGGTGTAGTCAAGCTTCTGTATAAGGAGCTACAGTGTGTAATTTGTCCACGTCGCGCACTTCGGAGCAAGGGACACGCTATATAAATGTGATCCAAATACCTTATACCATAAACCACCTCCAATAAAAAAGTTAACAACTCTTGGATGAGCGCCCTCACTTAGATGACGACTACTGCAAATAAATTAAGTGCTTTGACTTAAGACATGCACATGGAATGACCGTTCTTTTATTTGGGAGGGTGGCGCTGCACAGCCCAAGAAGTGTGAGTAGATTCTTGGGACGGTCGCCATTTGAAGGAGCACAAATATGATGTAGGATCCGCGGTAGAGAAGAGACTCCGTCGCCGAATTTGCGGATTTCATCCCGGTGGATGAACGTATGCCCATAATTCGTATAAAAAAAAGTCTTTCAATTCGCCGTGACGTAAAACAAGTACGATTTGCCGAAGGGTGCCGCTTATGAGCGGTTTGTCTTGTGTGCGCTGCTGCCCATGATTTCTGCTTGGCGACTTTAATGCCAGCTTGCAACATGCAGTCTCCACGACGAAACATCCCAAAGTATAGGCACATTCACCAAACTCTTTGGCTGTCTCCAAAACGAAAACTTCACAAGCAATTCGAACATGTTGTGATAGACGAACGACATGTCTCCAATGGTATTGTCATGCGTTCACTCCGAGAACCCAACATCGATTTGAACCACCGTCTTGTAGCAGTAAGGAAAGGTAACCGGCTCTATGGAAGATTCGGCGTTGAAAAATTGCAACCCCAACAGACAGTTCCACGGTTTTCTACTCGACTTGCACTTCTGCTCTCTGTAGCAGGCTAGCGAATTGTGGAACGGAATTTCTTGGTTCATACAGCTGCAAACGAAATTATTGGTTTTCGTAAAGGTCGTTAAATCAGGTAATACGATGGGGATTGCCGTGCGGCGGCTTGGAGAAATCAGGCAGTCTACCTCGCAACGATTTTAAAGTATTGGATGAGTGCATAAGTTCGTGCCCGATTTCAAGTGCAAACTAAAATTGAAATTTTTTGAAGAAAGCACTTTTATTAATCAATTATGTATTCGCCATCATGTTCGGCAATCCACTCCCAACGTTCAACCAATTTACGGATTTCTGATTCATAGAAATCGCGCAGTTTCTCGTTGAAAAAGGTGTCAAGGTGGTTTTTGACGTCTTCCACATTTTTAAACTTTTTTCCATTCAAATTGTTCTGCAGCGAACGAAACAAATGATAATAAGAAGGTGCAATGCCGGGAGAATATGGGGGATGCGGCATGATTTCTCCAGCAGTTTGGCCAGGGTCGGTTTTGCAACATGTGGCCTGGCGTTGTCATGATGGAAAAGAACTCTTTTGCGATTGGCCAAAATCGGACGTTTTTCATCAATTGCTTTCCTCAATTCGACCAATTGCTGACAATACTTGTTGACAGTGATCGTTTCTCCTGCTGGCAAGAGCTCAAAATAGATCACGCCTCGGATATCCCACCAAATGCACAGCAGTACCTTCATCGGATGCAATCCACCTTTCGACATCGGTTCCGCCCCTTCGTGTGCCTGTTTTCATGTTCTTTTGTGTTGAACATTGTTGTACAGGATCCATTTTTCATCACCAGTCACGAGCCGATCCAAAAAATGTTCGTTTTTGATCCGTCGAAGCAAAGAAATTGCTGTTGACATACGGTCCACATTGTTTTTTTCACTCAACTGATGTGGCACCCATGTATCGAGCTTCAAAGTGTACCCAACCTTTTTTAAACGACGAAACGCAGTTGATTTGTTGACGTTCAATTCACTGGCAACCTCTTCCGTCGAAATACGTGAGTTATTCCCAACTAAAGTCCTTAGAACATCGTCATCAAGCTCAGAAGGCCGTCCACTGCGAGGTTGATCTTCGAGGTTAAAATCTCCAGAACGAAATTTCGAGTACCATTTCTCTACGGTGCGGAGTGCTGGAGCACGGTCCAAATAAACTTCGCGAATATCTTTAGTTGCAGCGCCTACTGTTTTTCCTTTGCGGAATTCGTATAACATAATATGACGCATATGATCTTTTTCGTTGTCCATCTTCCATGCGTCTTTTCACTAAGCAACTCAAATCAAAATGAAGTTATTTTACGCTTGATTTACAGTTCGGATTGTCACCTTTCCAACGATATATAATATGTGTATATTATTCGAACGGCATCCAGCGGAATCGGGCACGAACTTATGCACTCATCCAATAGTCCTCGACAGCACGAAAAGTAGCTGTCTCTAATGCACTGTGTCTGAAACTGGTATCTTTGTGAAACTTAAACGGCTATACAAGAAGATTCTAAGCAGCTCCGAATGCTTCGTAAGAATGGAAAATGAGCTTTCTGAGAGTTTAAATACCAAACGAGATTTCAGATCAGGTGACTTTTCGTGCGAATTCTGTGTGGTGTGTACGGCAGTAAAGAAAAATTTAGGTTTCACTTTTACGCCTCAGAAAGGCCCTTCACTTCTGAGCCTTAGATATCCATCCAGCCACTTAACGGATGATAATTCTCTTTTTAGAATACTTTATTTCTCTCTTAAAACATTTAATTGTATTTTATCTGTTTTTTTTTATGAATTTAAATGACTCTCAAGTTCCAACTGCAGTAAATCGCAAACTTTTGCCTCTTCAAAAGCTCTACTTTTTCGTAATCAAAGAAAATAAAGAAGGCAACTTTCTCTAACTTAATATAACAGTAACACACTTATTGACCAACTTTAAATATATTCTTCACATAGTTTTTGTAATAAAATTTTAACAATCTTTTCCGCTTCCTTGTTTCTTTCTTTCAAGGACACTTAAACAAATTGGATGCGAAAACGCTGCACGTGCAACAGCAATACAAGAGAGAATAGAAGTGACATCCTGCTGCTTGCTCACAGTTATATTATATTTTGGGTGAGAAAAGGCTCAAGCAGGGAGGGCCGAACTAAAGTGGAGCAGAAGTTGAACGAATTCGTAGCGAAATGCAATAAAAGGTTGGCGTGCAGTGTGTGGAGATAAGCGCAATAAAAGCTTGTGGAGGAAGTATGAAAAACGTGTAGAGATTAGAAGGACAACAAATGGAAACACATGTGAAGTGTTAGAATATGAAATTGGATTACGGTTGAGCACTTAAAAGCTATTAAAACGTTTCGTTGAGCTAAAAAAAGGTCGTCGGCGGAAAGGAGAATTGGTGGTGGTGGTGTTAAAAGCGAAAACTTGAAAATTTATTTAAAAAGTAGTAAAAAAAAACAGTGCTTACGGTACACAATATTCTAGTTACTGAGCGCGTTTTTACGGCACGGCTGGTTATCTCTTTAGCTTATGCTGAGAACATAGTGAGTTCTTCCCGTAACTCTTAAAGTGCACGTATTAGAATTGAATTGACTTGAACCCTTGTTTTCTCTTAGTGAACGGTAGAACGTGCGCGCCTCAAAGTGCATTTATTCCAGCATACCATGTCCTCGATATCGGCGCAGGGCGTGGTCGAACGTGCGTCCGCTGAACTCTCGAAACGCATTAACGGCCTTGGGCTGCGTTCGAAACATCATCATGGCAGCAGCGCTAATTCGTCCTCGTCCTCCACCACGACGCAATCCTCTTCGTCCTCGTCTGGCAGTGGAAGCGGCAAGACATCAGTAATGGAACGTGTCACCAATGCCTTGTGTGGCGGTGGCAATAGCAACAACAACAGCAACAGTAACAATACCAATTCGAGCAACAATTCAAATAGTAACTCGACAGTCGGCACACCAGACAAACCAACACGTGGTAGTGGCACCAATAGCGGCACACATACACCCACAGGCGGTTTGTCCACGCCCGCAAGTCCCACACTACCACACAACGTCGTTGTCGGTGCTGTCAACAATATGCAGCTACTGCAGCAACAGCAGTTGGCGCCACAAGCACAACAGTCGTCACATCCGCATCCACACGCGCAACAGTCGACGCCGTCGCAACCACCGCCATCGTCGCAACATCCATTGCAGTCGCAGATAGCCAGTTCGACGCTGGTCAATTCGAATTCCAATTTGCTGGGCGGTACACCGCCGGTGCTGGGTGGCCATCCACTGGGCGCGCCGCCTGCGCCCACTGTCAACTCAATTGCCAAGCAAATGAATATTACCATACCCGGTCAGCCGCAATTCAATACAATGGGTTTGGTGGCTGCACAAAAATCTGTTGCTAATCAATCGGTGAGCGGTGGCACGCCACTGCAAATGCGCAAACAGCTACCCAATCCTCATCTACATCATCCATATGCCGGCGGCGGTGGCGTTAGTGCTGGTGGCGGTGGTGTTGTTGGCGGCGGTGGTGTTGCGGTTGTCTTGCCGACGGGCGCTGCTGGCGGCGCTTCAAACGCATCGCAACTAGCCGCTGCCGTTACACAGTCTGCGTTGATTCTACACAAACACCCGCCTCCGATAACCAGTATTGAGGCATTGTTGCTCGACGATCGTTTTTTGACTCGTTTTTTCCTTTATTTCTCCTCGTATGAACGTCGCACGTTGGCGCAAGTGTGCATGAAATGGCGTGACATACTCTATCGTAGTCCGCGTTATTGGTCGGGTTTGTTGCCAACGCTGCAGTGTCGTGAGTTGCGTCAAATACCGAGCTGTGATCGTGTGAAGTTGTATAACTCGTTAATACGTCGCGGTTTTCATGCACTCGCGTTGGTCGGCGCCTCCGATGAGGATGCGCTCGATGTGGTGCACTCATTTCCGTTGGCGTCCAAACACATACATTCGCTGAGTTTACGCTGTTCGTCGATCAGTGATCGGGGGCTAGAGGCGTTGCTTGATCATCTGCAGGTGAGTAGCAAACTGTTCAGCATTTATAGAGTTTAAGGCCAACTTTCTATAACGAAAGCAACGAGCTGGGATGCGGTTATGGTTAATCATGTCTCTGTAGATAATTTTGTTACACAGTTGTACTCGGTAAGCAACGGTACCCTAGTTTTTCTAACGAATGAAAGGCTCCACCCGCCAAAGAGGTTCATACGATTTACCAATATTAGGAGTCGGTGAGCCAGAAACTATTTCCATAGGTTAGACGTTCGGCGCTCCTTTGAGATCTGACGAAATATAGTTGAGGGGTTACGTGGGTGGGATATGGTACCAGAAAAATTGGGTACACACATCTTTTCTCTTACTGGCGTAGACACCGCTTACGCGACATCGGAGCTTACATGTGATTAATACTTGGGTCGATACGTTTTACTGAAACCGATAGCATAGATTGCTATCCATATTTTGTACAAATTTTCAGAGGTAGAGGAGTATATCCTCGCCAACCCTAAAGAATTGTGTTGGGAAAGGCGGAGATTAGTAGCTCTCTGCGACCTTCTCAGAGGGAGAGTGGTTTTTTGTCGCCTCTAAGTGCCCATAAAGGAGGAAAGTAGTACTATCTCACCATGGCTTTCACAGAGATGGAGTAATTCATAGAGTGGAGCATCACGAGCTAAGGCTCAGACTGTAAGATGCGAGTGGTTAGTAATGCAATCGGAAGACCAAGGAGATCGGTTTCAGTCGCCTCGCGGCATGAAATGGCAACCTCAACCTCTTCGGAGCGAGGGTTACTCAGAAAAGAAAACAAATTGACATTCAGTATTGGAGTAGCCTTGCCTTTGTAAACTGGGTGGGGACTTCACATACTTCGAGCTCAGTCTAGCGAATTATATTTTTCTTTATGACCACCTGACTGAGATGGACTTCTGTGATGCCTCGGTACGAGAGCTTATCAGATGCTGAATAATATTACCACCGATCAATAATTCCCTTAAGATACGGATGAGCTCGGTCTCGCAAATAAAATTTTTCTTCATGGCCATTAGACTGAGATGGACTTTTGTGGGGCTTAATTTTCGGTGTTCTCGAATAACTCTAACTAGAAGCACCTCGGTACAAGAGCTTATCAGATCCTGAATAAGATGCGGAGGAGCTCGGTCTCGCAGATTAGTTTGTTCTTTATGGCCAACTGACTTAGATGCACTTCTGTGGGGTTTCACTTTTGGCGCTTTCGAACAACTTCAAATGCAAGCCCTTCGGTGCGAGTTGTTATCATATTCCGGATGTGAACCGCAGCTAAAAATTCTTCATCTAAGGAGCTCGTTTTAGCAAATTCATTTGCTGCTTCTTCGTTGCTTGTATATTTTCCCTCTAACATGAGAGGAAGTTCGCTGTTAGACTTTTTGTTTTCCACAAACCATGGCTAATGGCATTATTATACAATCCAATATATTGAAAAACTACGCTCGGTTCGAAGCAAAGTTCCTTAATGGTTCACCTCAACAACGATGCAGTGCTTTGACCTCTCTGACAACCGCATTGAACTATCATGACCGTACAAAGGAAGGTATAAATGTATTAGCAAGCTTTCTCATGTGCCCATAGGAAAGACACTCACCTATGCCCATATGTACTTAATTACTCACTTATATTATATGTATTCGGTCTATCTGTACAAACAGAGGCCGCTGGCCTTAAGTATGTGACAACAACTCGAAATATTTCGCTAAACACAACCGATGTACTCATATATATGTACTTAGCAAGCGTCAGGCACTCATATAATTATCGGTGAAGTGCACTCACATGGATATATATATGTATGTATGTATATATGTATATATGTGTGGAAGGTTGCATGCCTGTGCTGCTTTATAGCATGTTAGCGCATAATTTAATGGGTCAACATGTTTGGCAGCCTGTCATGCGCTGCTGCTATGGCCGCGAGGTTCTGCGGTCGACCGCCAAATACTTCAGCGCCACATCATTAAAACACACATACACACAGATACATATACACATTTACTCTTATATACAACTGAGCAAGTAAACTTGCAACTGCATTTGCAAGTGTGTGTGAATGTATGTATGTATGTATGTACTCGCATATGCGAACTCGAAGGCCAATTTGGCTGAATGGTAGTCAGCCATTTTGTAAATATTTGCCTATCAAACGGTGTATCAGCAACTACACACATACTAAACATCCATACATATATGAGAGTTGATACGTACACAGATATTTGCCGCATTTTACAGTAATAAATAATACGCATTAAAATTTCAAATCAACAAAAAAAAAAATAAGCAACTGAAACTTGCGTAAATTTAACGGAAACCACCATTGGCTGTTACCCACAATCCCGGCAAATAATAACAGTAACCAAGAAGCCTACAAAACAACGCGGCACACTATAACTGCAAGAGCGCCGGAAACCCCCTTTTTAGGAAGAAAAAAAAACAACAACAGCAACAACGAAAACAATGAGAAATCATACCAATAACAACACAGTAAAGTTCAGGCAACTAGTACATACATATATACATATCTATGTAGCAGTGCATTCGTATACGAGTATATATATATTTATATATGTATGTATGTACATATTTATGCGAAGGCCAGCATTTCCGTTTGCTGTCAAAAGTTATACGAAACTTTAGTTTAGTAGTTCGATGGCATAGTTTTGATGCTCGTCTTTTTCTTCTTCTTGTTGTTTCAGTTTTTACGATTTCAAGGCGCACGTCCACAAAAGTTGTTTAACTAACAAGTGATTTTGCGATTTTTTTGTGTGTGTGGGGTTTCTTTTTATTGAGTTCGTGTGGCGAATTAAATTTTAGAATTTTTTTTTATTTTTTATGGGCAATTTTCGTTGAATTATTTTTTTTTTAAATTTTAAATAAAAGTGAAAAATTAATTATTTACACAATTTTTTATTTTTTGGAAAAATCACTTACACAAATATGTTTGAGAAGTATTTCAGAAGAGATTAGAGAGCCTCAGACCGTATGAAGGTTTTACGAGCGACCTAATAAAAAAAATGAGAACATGCAGTCCTTAAGAAGGCTTCTTCTTCTTTACGGGTGTTCAGCTGCTTGGCGCCCTTTGGAAATACCAAGTATATCAAGTCCTTCTCCATTCGGTCCACCATTACATGCGCCCGTATAGTTCTCGACCACGACGTTGCGAGCTAGGAAACCTTAGTTAGCTGTTTTTTTTTTTATCGACATCTCTGAAAGTCGATAGTTTTGATTGCAGCTGGCACGCAGGGAGCTTGAAATGCCGAAATTCTCCTGCTATCAGAGGACATGTCCAAATTGTGTAGAAAACCGTTCGGATGGCCGTTGTGCTTGTAGCTTTTCGAAGGCAAACCTTCTTTGTGTTTGTAGACAAGTTTTCTTCACTGCATAGAGGCGGGTGCGTATTCCAAAATAGTGGTCCGAGTCGATGTTGGGTCCTCGGTGTATACGCACAACAATATCATTGGCCACATTTCGTCCATCTTTCATCTGGAGACAGCTTAGAAGCTTGATGAATTTTCCTGTGCTGGAATCAATCATACTACTACAGACAACAATGTTTCGGGCATAGTCGCTAATACTCATCACATGCGTTAATGTTTTGTTGTGAGGGCTAAATTTTCCGACAGTTATGCCGAAGATACCTTCCTTGTCGACTCTGTTGTTAAAGTCGCTAAGCACAATTTTGATCGTGACGGGAAGAGCTCTTATCAGTACGCTTCAGACGTCCATAAAAGACATCCTTGGTTGTATCGCGTGGTCGCAAATGAGCAATAAGTTGAAGAATTTCGCTTTGATGTTTTTTGTGACGGGATCGTCGTTAACCGTGGTGAATGCCAGCACTTGGCTACGTAGTCTCTCGTCCACCAAAAATCTGATACCACATTCGCGCCGCTTCATATGGCCGGTAAATGCCACAGGGATCTACTCGTCTCCGTATTTGTCCCGTGCAACGCTCTTCTTGAACGTTTTCAGGGTGCGCAACCTGGGCTCAAGAGTAGAAATTGTTACTGCTAACCCAGAAGTTTGACAACACACGTGGTGTAATTGCCATTTTCTACGGATTTCGTCTTGAATTCAACCTTTTTTCACGATCAGCTCGTTCGTTTCTACAGCCTGGCACAGACAGCTGGATGAGTGATATCAATTAATCGTCAAGAACAAGCAGTTACTCGAATCGCAGGACACGTCTAAATATCGTTAAGCTATAAAGACCTCATCGCGCATCTAGAGAGAGGAAAATCATTAGAAGCCATGCCCATCGTTGTGAGACTAAATGCTTTAGATAACTCATGCAACTTTCGATATACTCGTACCTTGTTCTAATCTTCTCCACAAGATGAAACGTTTGCTCATAGTATAGTTCTTGCCCTTAACGCCTCCCCACTCTTTTTTTCCTTTCCTCAACCTTGTGAAAATGATTAGCTTCCTAAAGCGTCCACTAGAATATACTCAATTTCTTTGGTTAATAACAAACGATGATAACTCGCTTCCGAAAAATAGTTGAGCAACAAAATTCGTTTTGAAATTCAAAAATATTTTCCAATATTAAAGCAACAAATTACCGCAAGAATCGTAAGTTTTTAAATCAAAGCTCGTCTTCCAACGGCCCAAGCGATTTTGCCTTCCGGCGTGCAGCAGAACCAAACAATAGAACTGTCAACTAACAGCGTGAATAATGTTCTAAATGACAGGATCTTTGACATGTACTCGTATGCATTTGTGTGTATGTGGGTATGTAAGCACATGCAAGCAAAGGACATTTCGAATACTGCAAACAAATAAGCGGATAGTGACTGTTTTTGTGTGATTCGATGCATAAAACTAGCTACGGATGCATATGGCCTTCATATATGAGCACAGGCGGCTTACTCGTGCATACATATTTCTGTTTAAGTGTGTGTGTGTGTGTGCGTGTATTTTTGCACGCCAACTACTAGTTGTTTGACAAATTGCTTGATTGTGCGCTTCGCCTGCAGGATTAATATGACAGTTAGGCATAC